CCACAGGCTCTCCACACCCCTTGCTTTGCAAAATGCCGAACGTGTTGCTGTTCCGTCGTGTTGTTTCTCCAAACGCAACAGTTCAACATGCGTGTTGTGTGTGTAGCTGCGTGTGACGAGGTGAATGGCATACGTCCTGAAATATTGCCGCAGATTACACAGACTCTACTGCAACACTCAGCGAGTCCCTGGGAGTCCCCAGGCTGAGGCTCATTAGTGCGACGCTGGGGAACGAAAGGTTTTTATAAGACCAGGAAGTCGACTCCAAACGTGGGAAGCTTGCTTACAAATCAAGGTGCTTCTACAGGAACATCCGTGATTCTACAAGGCTTTTGACTCTGCCCCAACTGAGCGACTGATTTTCTCTGACTTGCAGTATTTCTATCTGAATGTAGTAAACTAATTGTATCATTTTAAACTGTTAGTTGTTTTCCCACCAAATAGTCAAAGAACAAATAAATTCAAAATGGAAAATATAAGCACCTGTTGAATAACTTTATTTAAAATCTGACTTAAAATAATTTTTAAAAATGATTCCAGGGGACAGTGCCATGGCTCACTTGGTTAATCCTCCACCTGTGGCACTGGCATCCCATATGGGCGCCGGTTCTAGTCCCGGTTGCCCCTCTTCCAGGCCAGCTCTCTGCTGTGGCCCGGGAGTGCAGTGGAGGATGGCCCAGGTGCTTGGGCCCTGCACCCCATGGGAGACCAGGAGAAGCACCTTGCTCCTGGCTTCGGATCAGTGTAGCTCTAGCTGTGGCGGCCGTTTGGGAGGTGAACCAATAGAAGGAAGATCTCTCTCTCTCTCTCTCTCTCTCACTGTCTAACTCTATCTGTCAAATAAATAAATTTAAAAAATGATTCCAAAGCACATTTCCCCTCATCTGTCAAACATCTGGTGCATTTCCAACACACAATCAGAATTACACGGCGGGTCAAGTCCACGCCCACTTACAGTAGCATCCGTTTAGGAAAACGGTCTCCCTAAATCACTATATTTTTTGTAAGTTTCAAAATAATTCGGAGGGCTAGCACTGTGGCACCATGGGTTAAACTGCCCTCTACCGCTCCAGCATCCCATATGGGAGCCAACTGCTCCACTTCTGATCCAGCTTCCTGCCCATGAGCCTGGGAAAGCAGCAGAAGATGGCCCAAGTCCTCAGGCCCCTGCCCCACATGGAGACCTGGAAGAAATTCCCGGCTCCTGGCTTTGGCCTGGCCCAGACCCAGCTGATGTAGCTCTTTAGGGAGTGAATCCGTGGATGGAATATCTCTCTGTCTCTCTGTCTGTCTCTGTCTCTGTCTCTCTCTGTCTTCCTCTCTCTACTAAATAAATAAGTCTTTAAAATAATCCTACATACTCAAATAACATTTAACATGAAGAAAATATAAATTTAAAACATCTAAATACAAGACTAAAATATTCCTATTTCTCTAAGTAAATTCTAAAGCTAAATCATTCAAATGTAAGAGGAAGTTAATAACTCTCCAGGAATGTACACATAAAACCTCCCACTGCTTCCCTTCCACATCTCATTGACCACTCAAAGCACCCGTGACACATCATGTCGCAGTTTCCTGCAGTGGGCACGTTGGCCTGACTGCCAGCCACATCACCCGGGCTGCACAGCCCATCTACCCCTTCTCTCCTCCTTTTCTCAGGGTGTTTGCGATATTTCTCTTCCTAATAATGTCTTTTCCCCGTCTTCTTGATGCCTCTCCAGGGCAAAACCATCAAGGTACACATTTCCAGGTCTATAACCAGGTGTCTACAAACAACCAGCCTCTTTTATCTCAGCATCAAGTATTTTCAGCATTGTAATCGAATTTCCATTAAAACACCCCCAACTTAGTACATCCGACATCTACTACCAGGCCTTCCAAACTGCTTCATTCTCCAGGATTTCCTCTCTTGCTCTGCAGGACACATAATGCAATCCTGCCTCGGTGGCCACTGGAGAACCCTCGCTGTCCCGAGCTACGTCTGCCTCCCTCTGCAGAGTCCCAGCTTCCTCTCCCTTTCCACTGCCACCTCTCGTCCCCCTGCGAGGCTCAAGCTCAGGCCTTAACTGAGTATTTCTAAAACCGCCTTGACTTTCCTACTGATCTCTCCCATATCACATCCTCCCGTTCTCCTTTACTGCCGCACCTCTGCACCCTGAGTGGAGTGTGAAGAAGAGGGGAGAATGACTCCTGGGCTGACCACAGCCCACTCCCTGACGCATCCCTGTGCCCAACGCCTGCACCCTGCCATGCTGCCACCGGGCCCATGAGAAAGGCTGAAGGGGATGATGGGAGGCAAGGCCAAGGCGAAGGATGAAACTGAGAAAACCTGGAGTGCTGCCTGCTAAGCCAGCTCCTGCAAAGCCAGAACCCACACGGCTGCTGCACAAAAGGGAGAGGAGATACCCAGGGAAGTGGGAGAGGCTGGCATCAGCAGGTGGGACCAGCCCTGCCGAAGACAGAGGTGCCGTAAAGGACCAGGCTCAGGGAACGCTGAGTGGAGCTGTGTGTTCTTGATGACTGCGCACTTCTGGGGACTGCACAGTCAGAAAAACTTTTTATCAAGTTTTATAAAAATGCAGAATTTTGCTTTATTTTATAAGCTAGGTACTAGCACAGTAGACAGCTCATTCTTGTTCTGGGGGAAGGGGCGCAGGTCACTAACAGAATGGCTCCAAGGCTGGACTGATGGGGGGAAAACACCCTGCCCTTGTAGATGCCAGAGACCTCCTCTGGGGTCCCAGGAACCCAGTGATGAGCAAAAGATAAATTCAATTTTATGCCCTCTGTCTCCTGTCTGCCTTCAGCATGGGCCTCACTCCCTCAACCAGGAGACCTGCTGGGAGCTGAGCCCCCTCCTTCCTCTAATTCTGCCCAGCACAGCAGGCCATCTGGCTTCACGGTGACACTCTGGAGATGTGTCCCTTGGAACAGCAACGCCCCCTTTCTGGATCGCAGATCATCAGATCCATCGCTCTGCCATCTCATCTCATCTCCAGAAAGCCGGGCTCGGCCTGGGAAGAGTCGTTAAGCAACACGCTAACCGTGAAACGTCCACCCTCGCTCTGCACGCCCCGTGTGCAGGGCATCACATGACCACTTCTCTGGGTTTTAGAGTGGCTTTGCGATTGCAGGAATGTTGTTGGATTCTGTGAATGACTGTCCTGCCTGAAATACCATAACTGTGTATGAAGAGAATCGTTAGTAAAGTGCATTTGGTTTGGCTTGGGGGAAAGAAAAGAACTGCACATGTTAACAGTCAAGAGCACACGTCCTCAGCAGTCCAGGCACACTGAATCGTGATTGGCCAAACACAACCTTTGTAGCCACGCCCACTACCATGCTTTCTGTACATCACTGAACTTCTTACATGGGTAGGAACTGAAGAATGGTCCCTGGCTACTGTAGGTGGCTTTTGCAGCCCAGGGGTTGGACAGTGAGAAGGCTACCTTCTCAGATTCCTCTACCGCTGGACCAAGGCTGTTCTTTAGCTTCCGCCAGGCCAGCACCACCAGAGGGTTTAGAAGGTGGACGTGGTGGGGTCCACCTGCTGCGGTTTCTGCTCTTTGCCTGGGTGAGTCTACACAGATGCTTGCTTCCTCTCCAGCCCAAAGAGCCCCTGAGCCGTCACTGGCTTCCTGGTGTGGAGTCGAGGGGACGGACGTTCCCAGTGGGCAGGAGGTCGCAGAGCTCAGCAGCAGTGGCAGAAGCTTGTGGCTGTGGCGGGAGGCATCCTGCTGCAGGCTGACGCCCGACCTGCCTCGGTAGCTCGGTTCTGTGCTGTGGTTTCAAGTGTATTTCTGAACTTTCAGCTTAGGGACACCAACAATTATTCCCCTGCACTAAATTATACACCACATAAAGGCTATGGGGGATTCATCCCACGCAGCCAGATCCTGAGTGATACCCACACCACACCCTCTTTCACCATCAGTGAGCTCCAACTGACTCTCGCAATCCAGGTCAGAGTGCACTGCCTATGAGCAACGCACTTACACTTTTTTTTAGTTAAATAATTGCTTTCTTCCCAATAGTACGGTATACACATGTGAACAGTGTTATGTGAGTAATATTAGCATATGAATATGCTCTCCCCTATTTGAGGACAGGGACAATGCTTTCTGCGTTTGGGTTCTCTGTGCTTCTCCGTGTTTGGCGTTTCCAGAATACACTGACTCGAGACCTGGCCCCTCCAGTTCATATGAACAGTGTCAACGTGGGAAAGAAGGGCTACAAATTCAAAGGTGGAGATGCTAGCTCTAGATGGGAGCTGGACGGAGGATACAGGGACATGGACTTGAGCTTAAAAAGTGGATGAGATGGGATCTTGTTCAGAGGCATGCTTTGAGATTGGGTGTGAGAGAGTTTAATGGGGTTGGGAAATGCAGAAAAACCAAGCAGATTAGGAAAAAAAAAAGCCCTGGATGGAAGGCTTGACTGCTCAGAAGTACAGGTAGGTCGTGGGAGCTGATGCAACCTGATTGGAGCAGCCTGATGCCAGTCAAGACTAAGGACCACCTCCGTCCAGGTGGGAGGAAGTCCTGGGAGGCTTGGGAGAAAGAAGTGTTTTCCAGAGTTCAGAGAATGGAAAGGGATCTCAACATAGCTGTCTTTCTTGGGTTGACTGCCTTAAGAAAAAAACACTAAAAATTCCAGAGAAGCAAACCCAGAAGCTCAACATCTGTATCACAAAACCACCTCCCCCTCCACCACTGGGAGGCAGAGCTCTCTGGACTCAGCCCAGGGCCTTTGCTCCTATCAAGCTGTCACTGGGGCTGTCATGAGAAGGACCTCGCAGCCTGCTCATTACCCAACCCCACGACGTGCACTCCTAACAGGCTAAAGGGAAAGAGCTTAGCAAAGTGGAATGTTGTAGGCTGTTCACCCAGCTTCCATCGACCAAAATAACGCACCCTACAATACGGAAGGCACGGAAGCCTGGCCCTGGGCCCCTGGGCCCCCGGAGCACGCTGTCACCACGCCGCTGCTTCACTCACCCTCCCCGCGTAGTGCATGACGGTGAACGCCGTGCCGGGGTCCTTGAGGGCAACGTTGCCGTTCCCGTCCTTCGTGGGGGAGTACACTGCGTGCGTGCTGGCCGAGTCCAGCAGGCTCTGCAGCCTTTTGGGCAGGTTTGATTCCATCGACCAAATCGTTTGACTCTCTTCGTCCAACAAGGACAGAAATCCAGAGGGCTTCTGAAAGTTAAGAAGAGACAGAGGTTTTCTTCCATGACGTAACTTGCTAATATTGCTGGGGTACACCCATGTTCATTTATTTATTATTATGTGATACTCAGATTATTATGTGATACTCAGAAAATCAACTGGTCTTTGCTTTTAATGCACTTCTAGTTTTCTCGCTGTTGTATTCTGACCACCCAGCACAGAGGTGCTGAGCAGCATTTGCTGAATAGCTGAATAAACACACAAGTGAAAAATGTATTTTAGTGTTGTTACAACACCGGAGTAATTTAAAAAGTATACTCTCATCTTAACAAGCAGAATAAAATTTTAGTCTACTTGAAAACCCTAATTTTTTCCTACCCTAAATTCATATGGGACAAGAACCATCAAACAAAAAAACCCACAATGATATCCAGTCACCAAAATTGTGGTAAAATCCCACTGAGAAGGGCAAGTGTTTCTCTAACATTTATTTCCAACAAAGACTGACATTCAGACGGCTGCTGAAAGTTAAGAAGAGGGAGCTTTTCTTCTATTACTTACTTTTTATTTTTTGTTCATGTATGCGCATGTTCATTTATATTTTAGTATATTCATGTAGAGACTCAGAAAATGAATCAGTCTTTGCTTTTAATACCTTCTATTTTTACTCACGGCCGTGTGTGTGTGAGCTGCAAGCAACAATTTAAAATTAATCTCATTTGAAATAAAATGCTGCCTAACAATGTGACAGTCTGATATTTCTTTCTCTCATATAGAACACTGTGAGAAGAATTTTCGTAGTGTCATTTTTGGTGACTAGAAGGCCATTTCCTTGTATCTTAAATGCTCTGGTTGTCTTAAGGCTTTTTGAGTCTCTTTGCTAATAGGAAGAAAAATCTGAAGACTGTATTCAGTGTTCAGAAGGCTGTAGGAGTTGCCAGCACAGGGAGTGGATGTGGGAAAGAACCGGCTTAGTGCCAACCAGGAGAAAGAACCACCATGGTGGGGGCTGGCAGGCAGAGGGCAGTGTTTGGAGATGAGCCCTCCCCCCAGACCCACATGGGGAGGGATTGGTTCCAGGAAGCCTCAAGGGCACCAAAATCCTCCAATGCTCCAGTCCCTTCTATAACTTGGGGGAGAGCTTGCCTACAACCCTTGCAGTCCTCTACCCTCTCTGTAGATTGCTTCTGATATCTAATACAAAGTGAGCGCCATGTACGGAGTGGTTATCTGCATTGCTTAGGGAATGAGAACAGGAAGGAGACACGTGTACATGTCCAGAACAGATGCAATTTTCTTTAGACGGCTTTGTTCTGAGGTTGGTTGATCCCGCAGATGTGGAAGCTGCAGCTACAGTCCGCTGTCTGGCGATGAGGATGGCACTTCCGGCCTGAGAAACCCAAGGTCTGGCTGGGAAGAGCGGGAGGAAGGATGGGTGGGGTGGAGAGCAGCATGAGACAGCTCTGCCAGATCAGCTCACCCACTTCACGCCAAGACACCCACAGCTGGAGAGACTGCTGTCGCTAACACAGAAGGGAGGCTCCACGGGAGGAAAGTTGGAGAAGAAAGCGGGAGGCTGAGTGTGTTAGACCAACAGGCAGCTCCGTATGGCTGAGATCAGCCCGGGACCCAGGCAGAGTCCCCGCGAAGAGCTCAGAGGCGAGGTCCAGGTCTCCACAACTGGTGGGGAGTGGTCCCAAAGCAGAGAGGCTGTGCCAGGAGCCTGCCAAGGACTGGTCATGTACGAGGTGCTTCAAAAAGCAACCATTGTTTATTTCCCTTTTTTTTAACAGGCAGAGTGGACAGTGAGAGAGACAGAGAGAAAGGTCTTCCTTTGCCGTTGGTTCACCCTCCAGTGGCCGCCGCGGCCGGCACACCGCGCTGATCCAAAGGCAGGAGCCAGGTACTTCTCCTGGTCTCCCATGGGGTGCAGGGCCCAAGCACTTGGGCCATCCTCCACTGCACTCCCGGGCCACAGCAGAGAGCTGGCCTGGAAGGGGGGCAACCGGGACAGAATCCGGCGCCCCGACCGGGACTAGAACCCGGTGTGCCGGCGCTGCAGGTGGAGGATTAGTCTAGTGAGCCACGGCGCAGGCTGTTTATTTCCCTTTATAGCAATGGATTTGCTCGAGAGTAAGTACACTGTTGACACTATAGTCGCAGGCCATTCCAGCATCCATGGCCCTGTGTGTCCTGTCATGTCAAGTCTTCTCCACATGCCGTTACTCAGTCACATACATGCACACACAAGCACACACACACACATGCGCACGCACATCCAGCAGGTGGAACAGGACGCACCAGCTGCTCCAAGGCCGTCTACAGTGCATTTGCACCCTGGGGGCTGTGACACAGCTCCTCTTTGGGGCCGAGGGTGCTTACTTGTTGGTAAGGTCTGTCATGGGTATTTCAGAGTTTCACAGATTGGGCCCCAATGTAATACAAGAGAAGAGGCCAAAGACTGCTAAATCACGCTGCCCGAGAAACCAAGCTGATATGCTTCCAGGAAGAGGCACTGGTTTCTAGCAAGATATTTGTAAGCATCATAATTTGTACTGTCTCCAAATGTTTAAGAAATCTGTGTGTGGGCGGCTGTTTGGTACAGAGCTGAGACACCCCGTAGGATGCTCGCACCTCATACTGTTTCCAGCCCAAGCTCCTGACTCCAACTTCCTGCTAATGCAGATCCCAGGAGGGACCAAGCGACGGCTCAAGTACTGGTGTCCCTGACTCCCACACACAAGACGTGCACTGAGCTCCTGGCTCCTGGCTGTAGCCTGGCATAGTCCATTTATGGCAGGCATTCAGAGAGAGACGGAAGACAGGAGCATGCCCTCTGTCTCTCTGTGTCTTTCTCTCTCTGCCTCTCAAAATATTAAACAAACCAATAATTTTAAAAACCCTTTTGTGTTATGTTTGCTAGATGTTTGAATTAAAGCCATGAAAGAATGGTGGGGACCAGTCTTCTAGACTTTGGAAACCTGTGGAAATGTCTGAAGAAGAAAATAGAACAGGGGGAAATAAATCATAAGAAAAAAATTAGCGGCCTTCAGTTTCTTCAATAGTCAAGGCTCAGGAGAGACTGAATTGTGGTGCTGTGAGTGGAATGTTATTATAAGCAGTTTCACCTCAACAGCAAAAGGCATCAACAAGCCACAGAAGCCAACAAAACAGAATATACATCAGGGGAGTGTGGCAAGAACCTGAGTGAGTAGCTTCCTTCAAGGACATAAAATAAATACATAATCCCTCAAATGCAACCATGGCCCTTGCAAATCTTACAAATGTTGGTGAAGAGTAGTGGGTTAGGATTTCTAGAAAAGAAACAGTAAGTTTGCTCTGTATTATAGAGAAAACGCTTGCCTGGTAGACAGACCTCCATGTTTATAGATTAAAAAAAAAAAAAAACAGAGCAGGGTTCACCCCTTGCTTTGTGTGTTGCTCACCAATTTTAATGGGTGTCAAAGAAAGGGAGCCAGAAATGTCCACCTTCTTTTCAACTCACTGGGACGAGGGTCCCACTGTTAAAGTAACTGTTCCAAGGATGAAACCCCAAGCATGATAAGCGGTGTAAGGTCCAACAGTCCAGGACAGAACAGTGAGCTCGAACGAGGGTGGTGGAAGCCCAAGACTTCCCACTGACCGCTGAGTACACGCTGTGTCAGTGGAAGGCATTTCAGACCTTCAAGAGAGGAATGTTGTGCCATGTACGTCCTGACGACGGACGGCTGTCTGCAAAAAGAGGGCTTCTTCAGTGATGAATGTGCCACTGACAAGTTGCTACCAGGAACCGAAGTACAGAGCAGACACAGAATGCTGCACCTGAGAAATCTACCTCCATAGAAACAGAGAGCAGAAAGTGAAACACGGTGCCCTCTCAACAGCTGAATGCTGGTTTCAGATGCAAGTGTCTGGAGATATGGGAAAATCCATAGGCTGTCTTCCCACGTCGATAAAGAGGGACGGCTGTTTTACGATGGGTTTTTATCTGACAGAGATATTACGGCAAAGTTTTACATTGCAGAGTCGAAACAATGAGCGCACAAACAGCTGATGGGCAAAGACTCTTCATTTTAAATAGTATCTAAGCACGTAGATATCTTGCTGTCAATTTTTCCAAATCTAAATTTTATAAACTTTGAAGATCAATGAAAACAGGTAACTATAAATTTGTTTTATGGTATTCACCTTAGGTATTTATTTTACCACAGAATGGATTTTATACTTCGGGCACTCGTAACTGCTAGCAGAATTTCAGCCATGTTGGATAAACAATGTTGAGTTTTTTTTATATCAAATTAGCGAGATGCTTCTTGTCCCTTCAATGAACTGATGATTCTTCATAGACCCCTTTAGAACAAGACAGCTGAGCTTCTCAACAGATTTTAAAAGTTTACAATGTGTCACAGAATCTCATACATATCTTAGAAACAGGCCTCCTGAAAGAAAATGCTTTGTCTCCAGTATATTTAAATGCATGTATCCTGTTAAGTATCTAATTATATTATATGAATACCTGGAAAAAAAAATCCAGAACTCCAGTCTGGTTCCCAGGGGAATATGTGGTTTCCATGGCAACTCCCTCTTGTACACATTCTGTTTGCTCGTGTAGAAAAAGCACTTCGGTGACATACTGGTGCATCTTCTCGTTGGTCATGTTGACACAGAGCTACAGTGGGGAGAGAGACAGCAGTTCACAGGATGGCAAGGCAGCCCAGACCCACGCGTTCAACGACACAGCTTCATGGGGGGACGTCCACAGCCATCAGCCCATCGAGACACAGCGCCTGGGAGCCTGAGAACTCAGAGTTCCACGCGCTACGGCTGCATTTCATGTTCTCTGATCAATTTAAAACGAACAGGCTACAAGCAACACAAAGGGTGATCGCAGCATTAAGTTGCAAATGTTGTGTCTCAAATAGATTTGCGCCTTTAAAAATCACTCCAAGAGGAAGAGCTGTGTGTCCTCCCAGCAGCAAGTGATGGCCAAAGCCGGGCTGCCCTAGGATCGCAGAGACAAGAGGAACACTGCTCGCACTGCGCACTCCCGGTTGCCGGGCAGGCTCCTGGAATGAACGTGGGGCTTCCCTGAGCACTCATGACCAAACGTCATTTATTTATGTATTTATCTACCTATTTTTGCACAAACACAAACACTTTTCTTTATCAGAAAGGTTTTTTTTTGCAATTTTTTTTTCTTTTTCAAAAGACAAAAAAAAATCCTTTTTTCTTGCAAAAATGTTTTCCTATAACCCTTCAGCTGCTAATGGTTCCTCTTCCCACAAGGACAGACCCATCACCAGCAAATCAAGATGTTATTTCTGAATTGTCAAGTCTTAATTTCTTAATCTTAAATAATGAAATTTTCTTCACCTTCAACTATTATTTTTAAATAAACACAAGTTAAAGCCAACCAAAATAAGATCTTATTTACCCTCTAGGTTTCTCTCTCACTTTTCTGATTCCTTTTATATCAGAAAAAAAAAACACTAAGAAATCCTCATCTGTGCTTACTCTCCCTCATCCCTCTCCACTGCCCCTGGAATCAGGCTCCTAAAACGTTTGCTCCACGACTTCACCCGAGATGCCTTCTGGCAGCCGCTGGAAAGGTGCCCTTCTCGCGTGTTCACTTTTCTGACAGTGCTGGTTCCTCTGCGTTCCTGGGTCACGTCCTCACCCGGATGCCCGCCCCGCTGGCCTCTGTCGCCCTCCACCCACCAGCCCTCTCCACCTGCAGTGTGCACAGCTCACCCTGCAGCCCTAGCTCTGCTCGCTGCACCCACTGCTTTGGGGAGCTCATCCAGTCTCAGCACCTGGTGCTCCTCAGCCACGCCCTGAGCCCCCGTGCCCACCACGCAGCACCCAGACACCGGCGAGGATGCCGAGAGCTCAGGACCTCGCTCCAAGTACTGACGGACGAGCACGCGTGCACAGAGGAAAGCAACTGATAGAACGTTTCCACGGAAATTAGAGCTCATCTGTGTAGGGAAGGACATCGAGGATTATTTTTAACACGAAACATCCTGTATTCATATAATGAAAATGCCAGAGCCTGTGTAAAGAACACTCGTCTGGAATAACTAGTCCCAGTGGAAAGAAAGAGCCTTCCCCGTGCCTGGGGTCGGCTCTCGCGCACAGGAGCTCCTCTGAGGCATTTGAGAGCCCGTCTCCCGGGAGCGCCTGTCTCCTCTGTGCCCATGTGGCCACATCCCTGAAGTCCCAGCTGCCACGTGACCCCCGTCAGGGAAGGTTTGGTGCTCGGATGGGGCTCTGCCCCTGCCATGGAGTGTGGCTGTTGACGCACTGCCAAATTCCTGCACACGGAAGGAAGCTGGTGTTTCCTCACAGGTCCAGCTACTCAGGAGGAGGGAAGAGTACGGGAGTCTTGGGATGGAGACGTCTCAGACACAGAGATTCCAGGAAAGACACAAACCCCACCAGAGCGCAGCACGCTGGTCTGTTGTGAGACGGGGGTGACTTGCTTTAGACTTCCCTTCCTTGTCCTCACCAGGGCTGGCCCCTTGTGAGGCCAGGATCGCGTGAGTAGGTGTAGACGGCTCAAACCCCGTCAAAAACAGGGTGAGCAGTGTGTGAGATGATGGCAGGCCTGCAGTAGCCTCTCTGTTCTGGTGATTAACATAGAGACCTCTTTCATTACTGAGATAATAGGCGGAGAACAATAGTACAGTGAAAATATACCAAATAAAACAGCAGTTGATGCATTTTGTTGAAGATGGGATTAAAAGACGGGCTTATTTTGGAACAAAGTTTTGAAGTTCAAGCATAAAAGGAATTTCAAAAAGCATATGGAAAATACATATTATGAAAAAACTACATATAGATTTCAAAATGTTTTCATAATAAACATTTTTCATAGTGTGCATTTTCCCAGGCCCTTCTGGAATATCCCTTAAATACTAAAAATAAAAATCTAAGTATCATTTATTGGTGCAAGTGTTTGTGGCAGGTTAACCACTGCCACATCTGTCACCACTTGGGATGCCGGCACCCATATCAGAGTGCATGGGTTCCAGTCTGCACCCCACATCTGATCCAGCTTCCTGAAAGGCAACGGGTGATGGCTCAGGTTACTGGGTCCCCCCAGTACATGTGAGAGACATGGATTGACCTCCAATCTCCCATGCCACATTTGGCTATTGGCAAGCATTTGGGAAGTGAACCCGTGGATGAGCGCTCTGTGTCTCTGCCTTTCAAATTGATCAATAATCAATAATCAATAATTAATAATAATTAATAATTATTTTATACTGACACCCAAACAATAACAAGGATTCTTAGCTCCAGGTCAAAAGCTGATGGCCTAAGCCTACTGCTACTTCTCATTGCTTTTCCAGCATCTATGACTTCCCAGTAAAACGCAGTTTCTGTAAATCCAGAGGTAGCTAACTTCTGTAGCCTAAGTCACCCTCATGTGTCCACCACACAGCCAGACCTCAGCTAAAATCACACTGGCGCCTGGCCGTGCTGCTTCAGAGCCGTTTTAAAACCTGAAACACTGGCAATTTGTTTAAAGTCAGAATCTCTCTTTGAGTCACGTTCCTCTCCCTCCACTCCACCTGTGATCCCTGGATTTCTAGAATTTTCACCCTTCTAATTTCTTTGGCTAGTAATTAATGAGAATCGTTCCTCTCTGTTCCTCAACAGCTAGATGTCAGGAGATGTATATAAAGCTGTAAAACCTTATTTAAATTTTTCTTATAAGCACACTTCCAGTGATCAATTTATGAACGAAAAACACAGTCACTTTAGATAAGAATATATCATAGAAGACACTAAACATACGTGTTGCTCTTAAGGCAAACACAATTCAATATCGACACAAACCAATATTTTCTATTACAGTTGGCAAAGAGAGGGAAGGCCGTCAGTATTTAAGTGTCACACGAGCAGTTCTGTCTTCCCTCTCACGGTGTGGCCTGGCACGCCCGTTCCCACGAGTTACTCCATCAGAAGTAAGCGATGTCACTGGACCCAGATCCTCACGCTTACTTCCACGCTATCTTATCCTCCAGCAGGAAATCCATTTATCTTACTCCACAGCCTATAAACTGTGTCTGTCTGAGCCTACAGCACCAGATCAATCCATGTTTATCACATCCTAGAGCATAAAAATCTGTGTTCATCTTATCCTACAGCGTATAAATCCAAGCCTTCCATATCCTACAGCATATGCATCTATGTTCATCACATTCTACAGCACACACACCCACGTCTGTCATACCCACCAGCACAGACATCTGTAACTGGCTTATTTGAAGGCATGTTTATCTTCTCCTACAGCACATAAATATATGTTTATCCTCTGCCATCTAAATCATTGTTCATCCTATCCTACAGCTTATAAACCTGTATCATATCCTACAGCATATGCATCTATGTTTCTGTTATCCTATGGTATAGATATCTACATTTGTCTCACTCTACAACATCATAAATCCATGTTTATCACCCCCTATTGCATGTCAATGTATGTGTATCATCCCCTACATCATTTAGATCTTTGTTTACCTTACCCTACAGCACATAAATCTGCTTGTCTACAACTATAACCTGTGTGTATCATATCCCACAGCCTGTAAATTCGCATTTATCATACCCCATAGCATGCAAACCTTTATCATACCCCACACGACCTTACTCTTCCTGTATCCTGTACCATATACATCTACGTATACTGTAACCCAACAGCAGACAAGTATTTTTCTTACCCTACAGCGTACAAATCTACGCACATCTCGTTCTACAGCATATGCATCTGCACCCATCATATCCTCAGCATAGAAATCGTGTGTAACTTATCCCAGAGGATGCATATCTGTGTGTATCATATCCTACAGGATATAAATATGTGTGCATCTTATCCTACAACATATAAATCTATGTAATCTATGGGCTATGGATGTATATATCCCGGATATCCTATGGGATGCGTATCTGTGTGTAACATATCCTACAGGATACAAATATGTGTGCATCTTATCCTACAACATATAAATCTGTGTGTAACTTACCCTCTAGGATATAAATGTGTTTTTATCCCATAGCATATGCATCTAACTCATCCAACAGGATACACATCTGTGTGCGTACCTTAATCTACAGGACATAAATATGTGTGTATCTTTTCCTACTGCAATTGTGTTACCTAGCAATGGTTTGAAAGATAAACTTTTTCCCTTCAAAACTATGTGGTATCTGTCCACAATAATATCACTACTGTTCAAGTAATACGATTACTTGGCACTTCAATCAATCCTCAATATAACAGAAATAAAGATTGTTGTTAGGAAAAATTGAAATATTTTAAATTATTTCGCTTTGCTTCAAAAACAGTTTTTTTTTTTTTAATTTGTTTGAAAAACAGAGTTAGAGAAGCAAGAGTGAGAGGCAGAGAGAAAGTCTTCCATCTGCTGGTTCACTCCTCAAATGCCACAATGGCCAGAGCTGGGCTGATCTGAAGCCAGGAGCCAGGAGCCTCTTCCAGGTCTCCCACATGGGTGCAGGGGCCCAAGGGCTTGGGCCATCTTCTACTGCTTTCCCAGGTCATAGCAGAGAGCTGGATCAGAAGAGGAGCAGCTGGGACTCGAACCGGTGCCCATATGGGATGCCAGCACTGTAGGCGGCGGCTTTACCTGCTACGCCACAGCA